CCTATCTCTTTCTTTTTTTAACAAAAATGAATACAATCAATGAATTTTTATGAAATGTCTATATGTTTGATTATTGATTTATGTCATATTTTGTGTTATTTCAATTTGAGTTGCAATTGTATTGTATATAACCTTGTGAAATGGATCGCAATTCAGCCATTGGCTGCGATGATCTTTTTACTAACCATTTCTATCTATCTATCTATCTTATTGTCCATTACATGGAAATTTGTTGCTCACTGGTCACAGATAAATAACAATGTAGTGACATTAAACATATCAAAGAATGCAAGAACAGTAGATCTAAACAAAAAACAAAAAAGTTGTTGTTCAGGAATAGTAAGACATAAATAAATACAACAGGATGGTAATGGTAAAAAGTATAATTAATTCAATCTAATGAAATGGACATGGTTGGTGTCCTACCTTGAATATCACAGATCGACCACATGCTGGCATGGTTGTTTTTACCCTCCATGTGACTTTAGTCTCTTGAAAAGCCGAAAGCCACTGCTGCCAACTATCAATTGTTTTCGTCTTCAGGCGAAAGGTTGCCGAAAAGTTGGGACCATCATCATCATTGAAGGAACATACATGTATGTCCTGAACTAGATCGTCTGGCAATATTGCCTGCATGTGCAAAAGTCAAAGAATAAAATGATTACAATTTACAAACACACACAAACGCAGACAAGAAATGAAGAAGTAAATATTGATTATGAATCTATAAACTTAGCCCTAGGGCTAGGCCTATGAACAAATTTATAACAAAAATAGGTTACACTACACCTAGGGCCTAGTGTTTAGCTAATTAACGGACAATTTGGGATGAAGTGTCGGCATAATTCTTTGAGTGCCGTTATTACAAAACCCCATTCATTGGCATTGATGTGTGTCACCCTCACGCTAGCTGCTAGTACTAGGCCTACTCTAACTTAGTTAGGCCTAGACTAGGCTAGAGTGATGTTTTAATAGTGTTAGACTACATGTAATCCACGTACCGTATGGAAAATCATTACATCAACAATTAAAATGAAATTGGAAATCTGAAGAGAAGGCAGCACGTCAATAAGGAGAATATCACAATAATTAGTCAATAAAACTTACCCTTAAACGAAGAGGAACGTTATCCAAACACATCATGACATAGTTCGCGATGGATATTCAAACTTCTTCGCAGTGCTATGCGTATAGCGATAGAGCGGCAGCGCAATTGACTTCGAAAAGTGGCGCAATTCTCCGCGACCCTCGACAGCGTGTATGTCATGATGTACGTGTGTCGATTCGTCGAAAGTTGAAACATGACTAGTCTCGGCGTGCAGACACTATTCAGAAGGGGAAGAACGTACTTCCCATAGGTTTAACACGCACCATGCCCCAATCTGTGCCGCATAAAAAAATAACGCTGCCGGGCAGCGACTCTACCACCAGGCCATCACTGGTCCATGGCACAGTCACGATGAACTAGAAACAAATACCCAAGCTCTCCTGATTCATTCTGACTTATTAATATTCATTAGTCCGCCATTGGACAATAACTTTTATAAATGTAATGCTTCCTGGGAGAAATTTCAATTTCACTGGGTGTAAGCCACAAATATGTTCAAACTATTGAAATTTCTCCCAGGAAGCATTACATTTATAAAAGTTATTGTCCTATGGCGGACTAATGGATATTAATAAGTCAGAATGAATCAGGAGAGCTTGGGTATTTGTTTCTAGTTCATCGTGACTGTGCCATGGACCAGTGATGGCCTGGTGGTAGAGTCGCTGCCCGGCAAGCAGTAGATGGCAGGTTCAAATCCCGCTGGTTCCAAGATTTTTTCTGACTTGTTTTTCAATTACAGATCGATCAATCGATCTTATTTACTGGGTGTAAGCCACAAATATGTTCAAACTATTGAAATTTCTCCCAGGAAGCATTACATTTATAAAAGAATTTGTGTGTATTGGAAGGTTCTGGAATCATCAAAATGATAAGAAATTTGGCCAAGTCTTGGTAAAGTTACGAAAACTTGCACAGAAAGATGTATATGGGACTACACGAACACGTGGCGTAAAAAACCGGCCCCCCCCCCCGATTTTTACGGTGTTACATGCATATTTAGAATATGAAGGCATTTGAAGAGCCATGCTTTTCAGGGAACATGTCTTAACTGATGTTTTTCCACACTTGCATAATAAGAATGAGTAATGCTCACAAATTATTTTTCACCTCTTCCCAGTACTCAACCTTCTCTTTAAAATGTCAATGAATGTAAATAATATTTTGCTCACAGAAAGGTCAAGTACATAAAAGTTGTCGGTGTTGAGTTTTCGTTCACCGGGACTATATCTTATACCGGATTTATGTGGTTTTTACCGAGGTTTATAATTCCAAAAATAAAAGAGAACTCTGCATCGTTTTTTTCGGAGTTACAAACCATAGGCACCAAGATCCTTCGAAAAAAGGAGAGCCCCTCCTTACACAAATATCAGGTAGATTCTTTTGTATATACCTACATCTATTTTATGAGAGTAACAAAATCATTTATATAGTGCTTTTACACATATTTAAATGGTTTCACATCGCTTTACATTGTTTACAATAGCCATTCATATCAGGCAAATAATATTGTTCGCGACTGACTACCCTTCATGAATTATATAGATCTGAACAATCAGTAGGCATACAGGGCGTATCATAATAAAGGATATTGAAGTTTAATGACGATTTATATGAAAACTACTGATTTCATAATCAAGCATTTTATGTCTGTTGTAAAGGACAGAATGTCCTCTTGTTAATGACACCCCGATCATACTACTACTGTCACAGTTGACTGAATAACAAAGCATTGCTGTCCACCATGTGAAAGGTGCACTGTGACAAGTTAGCATTCACAGATAAATTCTAAAGATTAGTGCTTGTGTCAGCCCAGACATATTGAAATGCTGAACAATGAGTGGATTATGTGTCTAAGAAGGAAATGTTATCAAACTTGGCACAGTGCACCTTTCACATGGTGGACAGCAATGCTTTGTTATTCAGTCAACTGTGACAGTAGTAGTATGATCGGGGTGTCATTAACAAGAGGACATTCTGTCCTTTACAACAGACATAAAATGCTTGATTATGAAATCAGTAGTTTTCATATAAATCGTCATTAAACTTCAATATCCTTTATTATGATACGCCCTGTATAATGGAATAATACCCTAAATGCATCAAATTCAACCCTAAGAGGCCGGAAAGGATGTCACCCCCCCCCCCCCCTCTCCCCTCCCTTCATAGAATGGTGGGAAAACCCGGATTCCCGATATAGACATCTAATGTGAAACCTTTGTTGCTGGAAGGCGACCAATCCTTTGTGCCTATACATGACTGAGAAGAAAAACAGGGGTAAAGGGCAAACCACGCGAGTTCCGTATTTTATTGTCCCCGCAAAAGTGAGCAAACATTATTTGTTCATATTTGCATTTCAGTTAAATTTCTAGTCGCCATTTTCTCTCACGTTGGCTACTTAGGTGGATAAGGGAGCATCAATCTTGGATTGCGCCTTGATAGAATTGTTTTTCTAGAATTTGGACATGGTTTTTTTTATATGAAGGGTGGAATGCAACCAGAATGACCACGTGCAGGCACCGTCCATTTCCAAAAAGCTCTTGGTACGTTTCACATTAAGAAAATGAACTATTTGATTTTAACGAATGTATGCTTGCCTACTGAATCTACAATCAGTGGCGTATCCTAATTTTAATTTTTTTAAATTATTATTATTATTATTTGGGAGGGGGTCGGGGGATTGGGCAAGGAAGCACGTGCCTCGGCGTAAAATAAAAGTAGGGGGTTAAAAAAACAAAAGAGAGAAATAGGAACATTTCCTTAAATTAAAACTTTATTGGCTCCTAATACCCATTACAAATAGATGTTTTGGACTGTTTGATATGCATACATTTTCTAAAGGTCATCCGCTTTGCGCTCTCACACTTGTTGCCTGGTAATCTCATTATAAGGTGTATTTTATAAGTAGCATTGTAAAGGTTTCACAATTTTTACAAAAGTTACACGCTTCCAGAAGCAGGATATTATAAAATGACATTTATAAGGATTCAAGATTTGAAAAATAATCAACATCAGTTACCAATTGGAGGAAGAAGTTAATACGTAAATGATTTTAATTATCTTAATTCGGAATTCAACCGCTAGATCGCAGTGTTTCCTTGCGAAATTTGGGTAAGATGCAAAAGTCTGCCGTGCGGTCGCTTATAATACCTTTCGCTATTTCAAGTTATAATTTTGGCTGGGCTGTAATTCAATGTTTTCCCCGGGCGCCATAATTCTATATAGATACGCCTCTGTGTAAATAATGAACAATTTGAAATCAATTTTTTTCACCGCACGTCTATTCATTGACAAAACGGTACAATAAATGGATGTCGGTATTTAGAAGAAATTGTGTGTCTTTTCATTGTAAACTTATATAAACCAATGCATCAATCATAACTAATGCTATGGTCACATTACCCAAAAGTAGACTGCTCGGCGGCCGAGCGGCGAGTTTTTAACCAATTCTGCCCGGCGGCTGCCCAGCCACCGAGCGGCTGCCGTCCAGGCACCGCTCGTTTTTAGGGCATCGCTCGGTCGCCGCTGAAGTTTTAGCGCGGAGTTAAAATTTGGGCGGCGCCTGCTCACTTTTCACTCGCCGCCCAAAATACGCTCGATGCCTGGGCGGTCGCCGCCCGGGCACCGACCTAATCGCTGGGCGATGCCTAATTCCAGCAGCGACCGAGCAGGCTACTGATCGGTCGGTCGCTGCTCTGATTTGTGACCATAGCTTAAGTCAATTCATTTTTGTCATGGGATATTTTGTCAATTCAGGCCTTACTCTTGTATATTTCATGTTTTCAGTATACTTAATATACTGTACTAATAAAATCATTCAATCAAAAGAAAAGAAAAGGGGATCATTACACCATTTTCCTTAGTTGTTGCGTTCTATCTGATTATTCTTTTCCAGAATACCTGTGAGCAATGACTAGTTGTTGGATATAATGGATATATACTTCAGGCAGCAATAAGTGACATCTGCGGACAAAGATATTTTTCTTGAACAATTTCCTCAGGTATTTTGAGAAACTCAGTTTATGAACGGGTGCATGGATATCAATCGGTTACGACTGGCCATGGAATATTTTCATCAACAACAATAATCAGTGAAGATCAATTCAACTGATCTATGATAATTCATGTGCTTCGTGTGCTTTACCTATAACCTTACAATCGCTTTGCCCAGTTTCAAGAAGCATCTATCTTATGACGATCAACAGACAAAGGAGTCTAGCCGTTTTGGGGGATCAGCTTTTTAACTGCCAACCAGATCATCTGTCCATTTGCTGGCTGACTGACTATTTACCTGTTTACAAGATAAATAATTCACACTGAGTTTTGGCACAAGAGGAGAGGAATAACACTCTAGCTTGTATTCTCGAAAGCCGCCTAGATCTTTATTTCATGTTTAAACCCTGCCTAAACTTCCAAGTGTGAGTTTGTCCACCGGTCATTGCCGATGAATTAAAGTAATTACTGCTGAACTACGTGACTTAATTTGGAAGAAGAAAAAAAAAAATCGAAATTACTAACACTTTAGTTAAATAAGGGAAATAGTTTAATCTCCTTTTGTCTTTCATCTTCTCTTTCATTTTAATAGAGAAACTTTTATTGAGTCAACGCTTTTACCCCCAAATGGCCAGGCGTTCAGGAGTTTCCTCTAAAATTAGCACTGTGATCGTTGTTCTTTTCTCACTTACATTCAGCAAAGGTGATATTACAAGAGTGAGTGCTATGGTAGGGGAAGAGAAACAACTTCATTTTAGTTACCCTTGTGACAGCACACGAGTCACTTTAAGAAATGGAATATGGGCTCCGTTTTACGATTCAACTAATCCAGATTCATTATCATTGCCCGAGAATAAAAAACTTGCGTTTCGAATAAAAAATGAAAGTAACATCTGTCTTCTCCAACTTAAAATCTACCCTGTCCTAAGGTCCGACGAAGGCGGATATATTCTCACCGCATATGCTGGTGATGGAAATATCCTAGAGGACACAAGAGTTGGTTTGAGAGTTGATTATCCACCGGGTAAGGCGTCTTGCGGATGGGAAGAGGAGACTGTTGCTGATGACTGGCGCTTATTAGAATGCACAGCTTGGTTTGTCAGTTTGCTTGGAGAAATCGTTTGCTATCAGAATGAGATCAGGGTACCTCCTGTGAGAAAACCTCGGGATAGAGACGGTATTCTAGAGCACACCATGTGGGTGAGGTTTTCTCAGCCTGCATTTTGTTGCGCTCTTCTTGTAGGACAACCAGTTGATAGGTGCAAATGCAATGACTACACATGGGCTGGCTTTAGCAACCTCACAGAGCCCTGTCCTGTTGCCGTGGTTACAACCCATCAAGGAGCTTCGACATCTTCACAAAGTCCCACTTCTATTCCAACCAAAGAAGCAACACAAAAGGCAAAGAAGAATCACTGGTCAAATGTTGTAACACACGTAATTTATTTGTTTGTAATTGGAATCTTAATAATTATCATCGGTATATGTCTTGTTTTGTCTATTCGTGAAGCTTGCAAAGTTGAGAAAATATCAAAATAACATTCACTTAATTAAACCAAATCATGTACACGAAAATTAGAAGAGTGTGAAGACAGCTCAAATTTAAATTTGGCACTGCTCTCAAAAAAAGGAACCTTCAAATCAGATCGAATCTTCATATACATTTTACTGTAAAACGTTCATTTTCCTACAAATTATTGAAAGCTAGGCACACTCTAAATGCTTTCAAACATAATTTAATATCGTTCACTACAATGCCAACCCGATGTCTACATAAAGTTAATATATCCATACTTGAGGTTTCATTGGCTCTGTGGGAAAGAGAGGAAAAGTATAGATATATTGACGTTGTGAGAGGCATCGCTGTTTCCATAGGCTCAAGGGGATGTTACATCCTGCTATGACCCCGAGGCGCGCCGGGGCAGAGCCAGTAGAGAAACAGCGATGCTTCAAATATTAAAGCAATCCATATATCTTTTATATAGCAAGCGCTTATACGTGATCACGTGATATCCACCATCTTGGTTAGTCCTCTGTTATGTTTACCGGTTTACCAAGCACTATGCCGTTTAGGTATAAAATCATAATATTACTACCTGAGAGGGATAAAGCTGAACTAAATGATTTTTCTTGTTATACATTGAATAACTTGGTTTGAAACTTTCGTACATGATATCTTGAATATACCTTGAAGGCCACACCTCGCCATTCAGTAGATGAAGGTTTTAAAACACGTAAGAAAGTTTTAAGCAAAGAAAGAAACCTTGAATAGTACATGTATATAATTATGTGCTTCCACATTTCATTTTAAATTGCACAAAATCCATAAACTTCACATTTTTTCATAATTGTAAATGAAATCTAGGAATGTAGATATTTAATTGGTTGTATATTGTATTGCTCGTGTAGACTCACATGGTATACGCTGAGTTTCTGACGATTTACTTGCCTCTGCTGTGCCAATTTCCAATTTTATGCCAAAGCTGCCTGTGGGATTTCATTAATTAAAGAGATGGTTGCAGAAACTCGACAATACAGTATAATGATGGGTGCTGATTATTATTTTTTCTCACATGGGTCAGTTTACGATGAGGAAAAAAGGGTATTGAAATAATAAAGAAGTTCTGAATTCTTTATAACGAACCATCATCATATTCATCTATTTCTAATAAGGCATGCACAATTTTCTTAGACTTTAATATCAAGAAACTTTTATGGATCAGCATCTCAAAATCCAATAGAATACAAAGAAAATGGATTCTTGAACCTGGCTTGAAACATTATTCTGACAGGTTTATGTTGTAATGTGTCAGTAAGTTTGTGTTGAGTTTGATGTATGTGTGAGTAATTTGTCAGGTTATGGGCTTATGTAACAAGTAATCATAATTTATGAATCTTGGTAGTAGATATTCACTAAATAATTTATTATTTGCCAGTGCTTTGCCAGATTTTATGCTTGACCATTCTTTCATTATAGTTGTTTATTGAAATTGTGAACTTGAATTGTTTTTGGAAAACGTGTCAGTGTTCCTTGTACTTGTACATTAGCATAAGATTAAAAATGTATTACAATAATGTATTACTGAACGAGGTGAAACTCAATACCATTTTGAAAAGAACTGTAGTTTAGAAGGTGACTCTGAAATTTTCGAAAAGATGAACTGAAATAAATATTTTTTTTTTTAAATAAACAATTAATTATGTCTTTCCTCTCTCAACATAATGTCAATGTCTTTATCCATACCTCTGCTTTTTCCACAAATGTCTCTCGTACTATTCTTTCCCCGCTTTCTCCCTTTCGTTCAATTCTTTTTTAAAATCATGTTGTCTTCTTCTTCTCTCCCTCTACCTAAATAATCTTCTTTTTTCTCTCTCTCTCTCTCTCTCTCTCTCTCTCTCTCTCTCTTCTCCGTCTCTCTCCCTTCTGTTCTCTTCATTTTTTCCTTTCTCAAAATGTACCGGTAGGAAGGAATTCCTTAAAATGCTGTGAGCGTCGAAATCGGCAGCCTAGCATAGCCGGGTAATGTTGGAGCGCCTTGAGGACCTTGCAAGGTCGATACGTGCGCTATATAAGAATCCAATATATTTATATAAAATGTTATCCATTGTATTTCAAACGACGTAATTCCTGCAATTGTTTGTAACAAGTTGTTATCAAGTTTTGGCTATTGGGATTTTAATATATTTGTTCATAATTATCTTGTTAATCGTTTTACAATTATATTCATTGAATCTATCATCATGATTGAATTTTTAATCTGCAATTCGGCCCTCTGATTTTTATCAAATTATTTGTGTGGCATTAAAAAAGCGATACCACGGATGAACTACCGATTATCCGTAATATATCCATGTTTGCACATAGACCTACATTTTGTTTACTAAGCTATTATATTTCTTTCTCGAAGTCTGTTTGAATGATATTATGTATGTTTTAGTTATTAGTTTTTAACGTTTACATTTATTTAGGATATGTTTTCTTTAATTAGGTTAATGAATGTCTACACACCTCCAACAAGAATATCATGCGTGCAAAGAACAGAACATATGTGGTCTTAAAGTATAAAGAATTAACTTGGTGTCACTTTGAATGCAATTTAATGATGGGTGATCATAATAATGCTAATCTGTTCTTGTATTAGGTAGACCACATTATGTACTAAACATCTCTATGCGATTCCAACAGTGCATATATTGAATAAAAGTCACTCTTAATTTAGTTATTCCAGGTGGCCTATTAATTAAAATATTCAATTTATATTGATGTACGTTTTAAGAAAACCGAAATATTGATTTCAAACTCAATGTGGCAATAAAAACCTTCTAATATGTGACATATCTTTGTTTTATTATCTTTTCGCTTATGATTGCGGTCTCCTGCACTTTTTCCACAGATCGTTAGGATAATAACTTAAAGTCATAATAATCATCTTTTAGAAAGATTCAGTTCGTTGCTGTATGTATGTATGTTACTCACATTTTGACATATGTTTTTATCATTAGGAGAAAAATGAGAAATAAACTAAAAACTAAAAAATATTTTCTCTCCCCCCCCCCCCTTTCTTTCTCTTCTTTTTCTCCCTGTTGCTTGAGGGAACTGGAGCGAGGGAGAGGAGAGAAAGTGAAAAAAGGAGAGAGATAGAGCGATAGAGAAAGAAAGAAAGAGAGAGAGAGAGAGAGAGAGAGAGAGAGCGAGAGGGGGAGAGGGTGAGGGTAGAGAGAGGGAGAGAGATAAATAAAGAATATGTGTGTTTGTGTGCGTATGCATGAGGAGATGGGAAAGGAAGAAAGGGAGAGAGAGAGAGAGAGAGAGAGAGATTTGGAGAGAGAGAGAGAGAGAGAGAGAGAGAGAGAGAGAGTGAGAGAGATTGGGGAGCTGTAGTAAATGCATTTAGTGGTGGGGTTGGAGGCTGGCATCGGTCAATGCCAAGAGAGAGAGAGAGAGAGAGAGAGAGAGGAAGAAATAGAGAGGGGGAATGGAGAGACAGAGTCAGCGCACAAGAGAGAGAGAGAGGGAGAGAGTCGGAGAGAGAGAGAGAGAGAGAGAGAGGGGTGGGAAAAGCAGGCGGCGGCTGTAGTACGTTTTAGTGGTGAGGTTGGAGGGCAGGTATTGGTCAATTCCAAACTTGTCTAATTATCGTGTTTGTTTTTGTTTTCTCTTCTCGTTTCAACTTTCGACACACATATCCTTTCACGAAACCGTCATAAGTACAAGTCCGAGGACAATCCATTAAAACGCGTTTATTTAACACGCGATTCAATGGGATGTCGATGAACTTGTACTCAAAGGGCCACACTAACCAAAACGGGCTAAAAAAAAATGAAAAAAACACATGTGAAATATATTTTAACGGAGATTCCGGACATGACAATGATTTTTCTTAGAAATCATCAATTATTCTGGAATCTAGCTTTAAAATGACGACTCACAACGCTCAGAAAAAAAGCCCAGTTTCGGTGACGACGCATTTGACGTCACTACAGACTCCTCTCCGGTGAAAAGGAGGGTGATTTAGGCATTAAATGTCTTTAAAAAGGCAAACTATGATATTAATTGGAGAAAAAAAGACATTTATCCGAAAAAATAATATGCACTTCATAATCCCAGTACGTTTCTGGCAATTTTGTCATTCCTAATTATGAAATTATAAAATTATCAAATCGGACATGCCCGCAATGACGTCAAATGCGTCATCAAGCCACGTGACCGTATTACCCTTTTGTCGAGGGGCGTAGCCCAGCAAGCGTGAGAACTGTGAAAAATGGATGGTTATTATCATTTTTTTGTCAATTTAGAGATTATCTGCAAAATCAGAGGCTGGAATATTAATAAGTAGAGGTGTATTCATGTTTTGAAAGGCTATGTTAGTTGGGTTAGAGTGGCCCTTTAAGACGGTTTCGGTTTTCGGGGACCTCAGATCTGTCTTTTGAACATGTTTATTTTAGGCAAGTTCGTATTAATTGTGATTGACTGAAAGCTGTAAGTTTTGGGAAATCATTCGGTCTTAGTGCAAAAAAGTTGCATTAGCGATATATGTTACGTATCTTTGTGACGCAACAATATGCTAAAAGACATAGATACGCGCAAACTATACAGCTTCGTCTGACAAAGCAACGCCAGGCAACAAGGTAAGATATGCCACAGTACTGGTAGTCTTATAAGGCATTGAATATCTAGGAACGTCCATTTCCATTCCTTTTTATTTTACAGCTTTCTGGAGTATAGATATGGATAATCATTACCAGCCTACTTGTTACACTAACAAAAGTAAGGTAGGCGCGTTAATAGCTTTTTTTAAATAATTATTTATGTATTATATCTATTTTTTGGAAATCATATACTTAGGCCTATAGATCTAGAATTAAAATCACACATAAAGGCAAATGCAAGGTTTTTAGTTTAATTCATTTAGCCTAAATCGAGCATATGGCATAGCCGGCATGTGCAGCCGCCCCCCTCCCCCTCCCCCCCCCCCCCTCACCTCCCCCCCCTCCCCCTCCCCCTCCCCCGCACCCATGATCCCTACCTCATTTAGGTCCTTTGATAAAAGTGTAGATCCGTATATCTCTAAATGCCGGCGATTCTTGTCATGACCAGGGGGGGGGGGGGCAACAATCGGAGTGGCACCGGCAAGCAGGTACCCCCCCCCCCCACAAAAGATAACATTTTTCGCATTAGTTGTCGTTGCATGCTATCGACGCCCTTTGATATATCATAACCCTGATATTTTTTAGAATGAGCAATGATTAAGCGAAATAATCCTCCATATTATTATCATTAAACTTTCCTCTTCGGTGATTTTCTGTACTGGTGGCGCCAATCCCTTTTGGAGATTTTACTTGAAAACATTTAAACCTTGTAGCACATGGATCGTTGACCAAAAAGTTTATAGATGGCGCTATTGCAGTTTTTGTTTCATACGAACATGTACGACTTAATTTAATTTTCACACATTGATTATACATGATTAATTGTAATGTACAGTATGTATTGTAAGTATTTACGAACCCACTGAAAAAAAATACGGAGAACGTTTTTGTTATTACTTGTTTATATGGATACAGTCAAATGGACTTCCACATCATGATTTATTGCTTGTTAATAAATTAATACATTAAGCGTGTACATCGGAGAAATCGAAACCCCCCAAAACAACAATTCACATGGACAAAATTATTTCTGGATGTGGCATCAGGACTCGATTATTAGTAATTGATAGTCTTAAATCTAAGGTAATAACAAGTGGTATACGTCCTGCAGTCTGATGTGACCATAATGCTATGTTTTTAAATTTGTTAACGGGTAAGATAGAAAAGGGTCCAGGATATTGGAAATGAAACACACATATCCCTAAGGATGATAATTATAAAAAGCAAATAAGACATATTATCGAAAAGATAGAAAGAATGATTGTTAGTTTCAGTGAAAGATGGAAACTTACAAAAATTAGGTGCTGTGAATTTACACAAATGTATTGTGCAGGAAAGAAAAAAAAAAAAATACTTACCAACCTTAGTAAAGAACTAGATAACCAAAATAAAATTTCTGATGAGACTAAAATGGATTAGGTAAGAATCGAATGTAAACTGGATAATTTATATAAAAGAGAGTGTAAATGAGAAGTATCAGATCTCGAGTCAAATGGTAAGAGAAGGGGGAAAA